CCGGAAATGACCCGGGCCCGTCTCCCGGGGACGCCGGAAATGACCCGGACACGACTCTCCCGGCGACGCCGGAAATGACCCGGGCCCGTCTCCTGGGGACGCCGGAAATGACCCGGGCCCGAATTCTGGGGACGCCGGAAGCTGGCTGGAAGTGAATCTGTGAAGATGGCGCTGGGTCGTTGCGGTTCCCTCGTGTTTCTTGGTGGCGGCGGCGGCGGCGGCGGCGGCGGCGGCTCCTCCCCTCCCCGCATCGCGGGCGTCAGTCTCGGGGAGAGCGGGTAAGGAGCCGGGGCCGTGCGCCCCCCGCGCGCTCTGTCAGATATAACACTGTGTTACCTGTGACTCCAGCACCAGCTGTTCTTACCGTCCCCGCTCTGTCACATTCTGTGTTCACTGGTTGGTTTTTTTTTATTCTCCCCCACAGGAAGGCCTTTGTGTATGACTGTCCCACACAAACAGGAAGGTAAGGTCTGTGAGTGCAGTATCTGATTCTACCCACAAACAGCCCATAGCCTCTGGTGTCACTAATTGTGTTTTCTTGGAATTGTCTCCTGGTCAGTGACTGCACTCCAGATGCTGCTTCTCTCACTGACATTACAACTGTCACAGTTTGCTATGTCTGCAGCTGTAAGATCTCAGTGCCAAGTTAACCCGTGTCTGAAATGGTTTGGTTGACATCAGGGAAGGTTTGACCGAAACGCAGTTACTCTGAAAAGGTGTCAGGGAAGAGATGGCTAACCCACTGGACTCGTTTTCATTTCCTCGTTTATATTAGAGAGCTGACCCAGTGTCCAGAACAGAGACTGAATAGAATAGAATCCCGACAGTGTGGAAACAAGCCATTCGGTCCATCTAGTCCACACTGACCCTCCGAAGAGTACCCCGCCCAGACCCACGCCCCTACCCTGTCGTTGTAACCCTGTATTTCTCATGACTAACCTACCTAATTTAGACATCCCTGAACACTGTTGACCATTTACAATGGCCATTCCATCTTTGAACTGTGGGATAAAACCGGAGCACCAGGAGGAAACCCATGCAGACACGGGGAGAATGTACAAACTCCACAATAACGGTCGCCCGAGGGTAGAATCGAACCCGGGTCACTGGCGCTGTGAGGCAGCAGTGCTAACCACTGAGCCACAGTGCCACCATCACTGCTTGTGCCAGAAACTTGCCTTCTCCTGGAGTTTAATTCACTGCTTTTGAAGTGTATTCATTACAATTTAGGAAATATAACTGTCAGGCTTACACACTGCAAGATCCCATAAGTAACAACAAAAGATAGAAATTGCTGGAAAAGCTCGGCAGGTCTGGCAGCATCTGTGAAGGGAAATCGGAGTTAATGTTTCAGGTCCAGTGACCCTTCCTCAGAAGTGAAGGTAGCGAGGAAAATGTTGGTTTTTATGCAGATGACAGGGTGGACTTAGGGTAAGGAGTAAAAAGAGGTAGGTTTAGAGCCCAAAGAGAGAGAAGTACAAAATAAAAATTGAAAGAAGTGCGGATGCTGTATATTAGAAACAAAAACAGAAATTACTGGAAAAGCTCAGCAGGTCTGGCAGCATCTGTGGAGAGAAAATCAGAGTTAATGTTTGGAGTCAAATGACCCTTCCCTCAGATCAGAGAGAAGAAAATTGGACAGACAAAGGAGTTGATAATGGTTGGCCTAAGAGAATGAATGGCTCCTAATGGGGACTTTTGGTGGCTAACGGTGGGTTATGTGTAATAGACCAGCGAATCAGAGGGCGGCTGAGAGTCATCACAGCGGAATTCTGGGAGACATCGCCACAGCTATCACAACTGGACAGGAGATCTCCGCAGGACACCCTCCCTGAGATGGCAAAGAAGGGCAGCGAATCAGAAGGTGGCTGAGAGTCATTACAGTGGAATTCTGGGAGACGTTGCCACAGTCATCACGACTGTACAGCAGGTCAGAGAGAACCTGGGGTCAAGGTGTGATTAAACTTGAAACACTACATTGGTGTTTCCTATTGTCTCTCCTTCTGTGACCAAAAAAATGACTGTGAGGTGGACGACTGGCAAGGTAAAGGTGAACAAGGGAGCAGCCATTAAGAGAGTGGGCCAGTGTTAGAGTGGAAGTGCTGAGGCCTTCGCTTGAGAGGTTTTGAGGAGACTGAACAGGGGTACAGGTAAGAGCAGGTAAGGGTTCTTTAACTCTACTTTATTTCTGACTAGGCTGAAGGCAGTAGGGATGGCAGTTTGGGCAGTGACATGCTCCTCTTGCAGGATGTGGGAGATCAGGGAGACACCCACGAGATGTGCACCTGGCTGCATCTCCTGACAGAACGCAGTGGGGAGCTGGAGCTAGATGCACTTGGGATCATCCAGGATACAGAGAACATCATTGATAAGTGCTGTAGTGAAGTAGTCACTCCTAAGGTGCAGGTAGCTGGTGACCACCAGAAGAGGTTGTGGGGGAGGGGGAGAGGCAGATAGTGCAGGGTTCCCTTGTGGCCATTCCCCTTGAAAACAGATATACCGCTTTGGACACTGTTGGGTGGGCTGACCTTTCAGGGGCCAGCAGCAGCAGCAGTCAGGTCACTGGCATTGTGACCAGCTCGGAGGGAAAGGGTGCAGTCAAACAGAGCGATACTGATGTGAGGGGTCAGACAGGAGATTGTGTGGTTGTAGAAGAGACACCAGGACGGTGTCAGGGTCAAGGATGTCTCTGAGCAGTTGCAGAACATTCTGAAGGGGAAGGGTGAACAGCCAGAAGTCATTGTGCACATTGGTACAAATGACATAGGTAAACAAAGGGATGGGGTCCTGCGAAATGAGTATCAGGAGTTAGGCCAGAAATTATAAAGCAGGACCTGAAGGGTAGTGATCTCCGGATTACTCCCAGTGCCACGTGCCAGTGAGGATAGAAGTGGAAAGATCGGCCAGATGAATAAGCGGCTGAGGAGCTGGTGTAGGGGGCAGAGTTTTCAGTTTTTGAATCTCTTTTGGGGTAGAGGTGACTGGGCCACCCATAATGTAAAAGGCCCAGACGGGGTGGAATTTGTCAAATGAGTCCAAGAAAGCTTCCTAAATGAATATGTAGACGGCCCTACTCAGGAGGGTGCAACACTGGACTTCCTCTTAGGAAATGAGGTTGGGCAAGTGGCTGAAGTGTCAGACACTTTGGAACAGGACTTTGGATCCAGTGACCATAACTCTCTTAGTTTTAACATAGTTATGGAAAAAGATAGGACAGGTCTACATGTTAAGGTGCTGAACTGGAACAGGGCCAATTTAGGCAGGATCTAGCAGAGGTCGATTGGGTGAGTCTGTTTGAAGGAAATGGAATAACTGGCAAATGAGAGGCTTTTTTAAAAGTGTGATATCAAGAGTCCAGGGACAGTATGGCCCTGTGAGGGTGAAGGGAAAAGCTGGCAGGTTTAGGGATCCCTGGCTGACAAGGGATATTGAGGCTCTGGTCAGGAAAAAGAAGAAACCATAATTTGGGTTTAAGCTATTGGGCTCAAATGAATCCCTAGATGACTATAACAAGAGTCGGAGCATACTTAAGAAAATCAGCACAGCAAAAAGAAGGTATGAGATGGATCTGGCAGATAAGGTTTAAGATAATCCCAAACGGTTCTATAGTCATATTAAGAGTAAGAGTGTGGCTAGGGAGAGACTAGGTCCCCTTAAAGATCAGCATGGCTGTCTATGTGTGTAGCCACAGGAGATGGGGGAGATTTTTAATGAATATTTCTCGGTGTTTACTGAGCGGAGAATCATGGATGCTAAGGAAATAAGGGAAACAAGTGGGGATGTTTTGGACCACATACATATTACCAGAGAGGAGGTGTTTGCAGCCTTAAAGTGCATTAAGGTGGATAGATACCCTGAGCCTGATCAATTCCATCCTCAGATGTTGTAGGAGGCTAGGGAAGAAATTGCAGAGGCTCTTGCAGAGATTTTTGCTTCCTGTTTAGCCACTGGTGAAGTTCTGGAAGACTGTAGGGTGGCTGATAAAGGTAGCAAAGACAAGCCAGTGAGCCTGACATCAGTGGTAGGTAAATTATTGGAGAGGATACTGAGGGACTGGGTCAACCAACATTTGGTCAACCATAGTCAAGGTCTGATTGGGGATAGTCAGCATGGATTTGTGCACGAGAAGTCATGTCTGCCAGATCTTTTAGAGTGTTTCGAAGAGGTAACGAAGAGGATGGATAAGGGTAGGGCAGTGGATGTTGTCTATATAGACTATAGTAAGGCCTTTAACAAGGTCCTGCATGGCAGGCTAGTCATGAAGGTTAGATTGCAGAGGGTGAAGATTTTCTCGGACTGGAGGCCGGAGACTAGTGGTGTGCCACAGGGGTCAGTCTGGGACCTTTGTTATTTGCTATGTACATTAAATGATCTGGATGTGAATGTACAAGGTATGATTAGTAAGTTCGCGTATGATACAAAATTAGGAGGTATCGTTGATAGCAAAGAAGGTTATCAAAAATTAACAGAGAGAGATCTTGATCAGATGGGGAAGTGGGCTGAAGATTGGCAAATACAATTCAATACAGGTAAGTGTGAGGTGTTGCACTTTGGAAAGTCACACCAAGGTAGGACAGTAAATGGTAAGGTCCTGAGGAGTGTTGTGGAACAGAGGGACCTAGCAGTACAAGTACATAGTTTGTTGACAGCGGCGTCACAGGTGGATATGATGGTGAAGAAGGCATTTAGCATGCTGGCCTTCATCTGTCGAGGCATTGAGTATAGGAGTTGGAATGTTATGTTACAGTTGTATAAGTCGTTGGTGAGGCCGCATTTAGAACACAGAACATTACAGCGCAGTACAGGCCCTTCAGCCCTCGATGTTGCGCCGACCTGTGAAACCAATCTGAAGCCCATCTAACGTAAACTATTCCGTTATCATCCATATGTTTATCCAATGACCATTTAAATGCCCTTAAAGTTGGCGAGTCTACTACTTTTGCAGGCAGGGCATTCCACGCCCTTACTACTCTGGAGTACTTTGGAGTCTTGAGTACAGTTTTGGTCACCCTGTTATAGGAAAGACATAGTTAAACTGGAAAGTGTGCAAAGAAGATTTACCAGGATGTTGCCAGGACTAGTAGGGCTGAGTTGTAGGGAGTGGTTGGCCCGGATAGGACTTTATTCCTTGGAACGTAGGAGAATGAAGGGTGACCTTATTAATGTGTATAAATTCTTGAAGGGCATAGATAGGATGAATGCATATAGTCTTTTATTCCCAGGGATGGGCAATTGAAAACTAGAAAGCATAGGTTTAAGGTGAGAGGGGAAAGATTTAAGAAGGACCTGAGGGGCAACTTCTTTACACAGAGAGTGGTGCAGGGGGAGGTGATGGCCTAGTGGTGTTATCACTGGACTGTTAATCCAGAGGGCCAGATAATGTGCTGGGGACCTGGGTTCAAATCCTGCCATGGCAGATGGTGGAATTTGAATTCAATAAAATATCTGGAATTAAGAATCTAATGATGACTGTGAATCCATTGTCAATTGTCAGGAAAAACCCACCTGGTTCACTAATGTCCTTTAGGGAAGGAAACATAAGTAACAAGGTGATAATTGATAACACAGTGGTGGTGCGAGGGTTGGGGTGGATGGGAAATATTTGGAGGTACTGTTGCTCTGCTGATTGTTCGCAGTCTTGCAGCATGAGCTGATGAGAGCTTTTTTATTTCAGTCAGGCTGGACCATCTGATGATGAGAGGAATGGGCTTGTGGCTTTTGCCTTTTCCCCCTCTGGGACCTACGTTGCTGTAACTATGGACAATAAGCAGTTACTGCTGTTTCGTACCAGACCATGGGAGTGCCTCAGTGTCCGGTAAGTGACCGCTCCCCCCCAGTAGAGAGGCTTCCTGCTTGCTGTCTCTATTATTCCCATCCTCTATCCTTCACTGGCCAGTTCACTTTCCCATGACTGTATGTCTTCCCCCTGCTGCCTGTCTGTTTCTCTCTCCCTTGCACTCTTTCCTTCTCTTTCACATGCTCTTGGATTTTCTCTCTAGAGAAGCTGGTATTTAGATGTGCAAATGTGGTACCAAGGCATACGAGGCTATAGCGAAGTGCTGGAGAATGGGATTAGTTAGGTGCTTATTTTTGACTGGCACAGACTCAATGGACTGAAAGGCCTTTTTCTGGAAACCTCTCTGACTCTTGCTGTCTTGTTGCTACAGCACAGCGCTACGTCGATCCACTTCAGTGACCATCACAGGAGCAGAGGACCGCATCCTGCTGGCTGATAAATCCGGTGACGTGTACAGTTTCTCCATCAATAAGCCTGATAGTCCAGGGCAGCTCCAGCTTGGGCACCTTTCCATGCTGCTGGCTGTGGTAAGGATGGGGAGGAGGGGAAGGGTGCATTCCTACTGATATTGCTATTTAGGAAAATTGGTGAATCTGCTCACACATTAGCAGCTGATGCAGTGAGTTACAGAATTGGTGCATAAGGTGACCATTCAGCCCGTCATGTCTGCATTGCCTCTTTGAATGGCACTATGCATGAAGCTCATTCTTCCACCTTCCCACACATTCATCCTTTTCAAATAACCATCAGATTCTTTTTGAAAGTCTCGATTGTACCTGTTTCCATCACACTGTCAGGCAGTGAAATTTAGACCCAAACAACTCAGTATGTAAAGAAGTTGTTCCTCGTATCATTTTGCTGCTTTTACTAATTACTTTTAATCTGTTCACCTGTATTCTTCATCCTTTTGCAAATGGGCGTCCTATCTATCCTGCACAGACCCCTCATGGGGTGGCAGTAAGTTAATGGATTAGGTTAGTAAATCCAGACTCTCTCCCAAAAGCCCTCTAAGAAAGGATCTAGCAGCGCTATCCTATAGGACCCAACCATCAGTGGGGCTGTTGCCGAGCCACTCTTGATGATGGACTTTGAAATTCCCCCACCCAGAGTATATTTTGTGCCCTGGCCACCCTCAACGCTTTGTCCAAACGTTCTTCAACATGGAAGAACACAGAGTCACCACCTAAGGGAGGACGGTGTGTGGTAATCAGCAGGAGGTTTCCTTGCCTATGTTTAACCTGAAGTCATGAAACTACATGGGATCTGGAGTAAATGATGAAGACTCCCAGAGCAACTTCCTCCTGATGACTGTATACCACTGTGTCGCCACCACCTGTGCTGGGTTAGTTCTGCCAGTGGTCCAGGACATGTCTAGGGATGGTGATGGTGGTGTCTGGGACATTGTCTGTAAGGTATGAATCCATGAATATGACTGTGTCAGGCTGTTGCTTAACTAATCTGTGAGACAGGTCTCCCAATTTTGGCACTAGCCCCCTGATGTTAGTGAGGAGGACTTTGCAGGGTTGTAAACTAATACCATGTCTTTCACCCAGTTTCATTCCTCTTTAGCTGTTTGATACAACTGAGTAACTTGCTAGGCCCTTTAGAACGTAGAACAGTGAAGCACAAGAACGGGCCCTTCAGACCATGGTGTTGTGCCAAACATGACACCAAATGAAACTAATCCCTTCTGCCTGCCCTGGGTCCATAACCCACATTCCTTGGTTATTCATGTGATTTTCTAAAAGTCCCTTAAACTCCCCTCTTGTATCTGCCTCCACCACCACTACCAGCAACATGTTCCAAACTGTTTAAAAAAAACTTTCACCCTTGCCCCCTAGTGTTAGACATTTCAACCCAGGGAAAAAGATTCCGACCGTCTACCCTATCTGTGCATTTTTGAGACGGCAACAAAGAGTATCCCACATTGCTGTGGGTCTGGAGTCACATGTAGGCCAGACCAGGTAAGGATGGCAGTTTTTTTCCCTAAAGGACATGAGTGAACCAGATGGGTTTTTACAGAAATCAACAATGGATTCACGATCATCATTAAACTTCTAATTACAGATTTTTATTGAATTCAAATTCCACCATCTGCCATGGTGGGATTCAAACCCAGAGTATTACCGGGGTCTCTGGGTTTCTAGTCCAGCAACAATAGCACAAGGCCATCACCTTCCCCTGCCTACAACACACAGAATGCAGCTATTCAACAAGGTGGCTCACACTGGAGAGCAGATTTTTTTAAAAAAATCACACCCTAAGAAGTGGCTTGAGCTGAAGCATGGTCAGACAGTGAGCCTAGTACTTGCCCTCAGGCAGAGCACATGTACTAAAGCAAGATACGATAAACCTCTACCCAAAGGCTAAGGATTGAGCATTCTTGTCTTCTTGGCACAGGCCTGAATGTAACCCACTTGCAGTCTTGCTGCTGGCTTGTGGAATGAGTGTATGTGGGATGACGGATTTCTGGAAATGATGTTTGTCTTACAATAAAGTTTTGAACTGAAAAGGCAGCGAAGGGAAAGCAAGGTATCCAGAAAGTTGTGATGGGGGTAATGGGAAAGGGTGCTGCTTTTAGTAATTGTTGTGTTTCCTTCATCAGGCAGTGAGTCCAGATGATCGATATGTGATTACAGCTGATCGGGATGAGAAGATTCGAGTTAGTTTACTGGAGCAGCCATATATCATTGAGGCATTCTGTCTGGGCCATCGCGAGTATGTTCACTGTCACTGTCTGAGTGTGTTCGCTGTCAGTGTGAGGGATGTCGCGAGTGTGTCCACTGTCACTTGAGGCAGGTTCCCAGATATTCTGGATCTGGCACCCAGAGGGTGTGGAACATTCAGACAATGTCCCAAGCAGACAGAGACATCACCAAGTTTCAAATTAGTTTAGTAATGGCCCCATTTCCCGGTTCACCCATGTGACAGGCGTTAATGTATTGCCTGTCCCTAGTTGCACTGGAGGAGATGGTGATGAATTATAGTCAGAGAGATCTACAGCCCACAGATAAAGGCCCTATGACCGATCAAGTCTGCATTGGTCACCTAACTGTCTAATCCCATTTTCCAGCATTTGCCCCATAACTTTGTATGCCTTGGCTTTGCAAGTGTAAATTTCTTAAAACTGATGAAGGTTTCTGCCTCTAACACCTATTACAGATAGAGTTCCAGATTGCCACCCCCTCTGGGTGAAAACATTTGTCCTCACATCTCCTCTAAATCTTCTGTCCCTTAGCTTAAAGCTTAAACCTTAAATGAATGATCCCTCCATCAAGGGGACTAATTCCTTTCTGTACACCCTCATAATTTTATACATCTCAATCTTGTTCCCATCAGTCTCCTCTATTTGTCCAATTTTTCTTCATAACTGAAATCACGCCAGCCCAGGCCTGATCCCAGTAAATTTCCCTTGTACCCTCTCTGGTGTAATCACATCCTCCTGTAGTGCGGATGTTGTTCATCAGGTGTTCCGTTGCCTTGTTTGCCCTGGTGAAGTGCATCACCCCACGCTTATCAGGATTGAATTCCATTTGCCATGGATCAGCCCCCTGACCAGCCTGTCTATATCCTCCTATAATCTAAGGCTATCCTCCTCACTAGTTACCCGCCCCACCAACTTTCACCTCATCGCAAACTTGCTAAGTTGCCTCCTTGTAAGCTGTGGTCTGTGTGCTGTAAGTGATGGAGGATGAGACTGGGGAGTTTATACTGGGAAACACAGAAATGGCAGAGTCACTAAATCATTATTTTGCCTGAGTTTTCACAATGGAGGATACTAGCACCATCCCATTGGTAACAGGTAATGCAGAGCTTCTAGAAAGGGAAGAACTTGGAACAATCATCACCACTAGATAAAAGGGACAGAGCAAACTGTTGGTGTCGAAGGCTGAAACATGTCCAGGGTCTGATGGCCTAACTCCTAGAGTCTTAAAGGAAACAGCAACAGAGATAATGGATCCACGAGTTATAATATTACAAAATTTCTTGGATCCTGGAAAGGTTCCAGTGGATTGGAAAAATGCTAATAAAGCAGCTTTATTCAAAAAGGGAGGCAAGGCATAAGGTAGGAAACTATAGACCAGTCCGTTTAACGTGGTCATTGGGAAATTGTTAGAATCCATTATGTGAACAGTCAGAATACAATCCATCAGAGGTTTTGTGAAGGTTAAATCATATTCGACTAATTTGCAGGAGTTCTACGAATGTATAACAAGCAATACTGATAATTAGAATCGTGTGGATATTGTATATCTGGATTTCCAGAAGGCATTTGATAAGCTGCTGCACAAATGGTTAATACCCAGTGTAAGATCACATGGAGTTGGGGGTAATTTATTGGTTTAGATAGATGATTGGTCAAAGAGCAGAAAGCAGGGATTCAGGATATGTGGATCTTTTCTGGTTGGCAAGATGTAAATAGTGGGGTGCTAAATAGTAGCTGCTCATTGTTCTTATGTAGACTCTCAATGCTGTTAAGGAGGCTTTTTACCCAAAGACACTGAATGAATGATGAGGTAGTTCCAAATAGAGCTGCACTCATCCAGGCAAGTGGGGAGTATTCCATCACACTCCTGACTTGTACCTTGTCGATGGTGGACAGGCTTTGGGGAGTCAGGAGGTGAGCTACTTGCTGCAGTATTCCCAGCTTCTGACCTGCTCTTGTAGCCGCTGTGTTTATGTGGTGAGTCCCGCTCAGTTTTGGAAAAACAAGGTTGTGATCTGGATTTCCCTGAAGGGCCTCCACAGTGAACACTATGTTGGATTGAAACTACAGTGAGCATTTGAGGTCTCCAGTGTGGAAGCTGCGCACAGAAATGTGTGGGATGGATGCAGAGTGTGAGAGCCAACAGTGATTGGCATCCGCGGAAGGTTTAGGTGAAATTGCAGCACAATATTTTTAAGAGAATATTATGACAGGTTATTGATATTGGTTTTATTTGCACTGACATGTTCATGCTCACATAATTTAACAATTAATGCAGCCAGTGTTTCTCTCTCTCTCTCTCTCTCTACCCTTCTCTCCCCCTCCCCCACCCCCACCCTCCACAGGTTTGTTAGCCAGCTTTCCATTCCTCCAAATCATCCACAGCTTCTGGTGTCTGGCTCTGGGGTAGGTAACATTTACATTTCTGTAGAGCACGGTCCTAACACACAATGTCACTGCTCCGTACTGCAGTGGCAGTGTCAGTCAGGATCTCTGCGGTGGGATGTGATCCCAGAATCCTCTGACAGAGGCAGCCATGCTTTAGTCCTAGTCAAGGATATCATCTCCATTTATATTGTGAAAGATTTGTTCTTTGGCTTAAAGGAAATGTAACTGTATGGTTTGATAGATGGCAGGCTAATCAGAAGTGAATATGCGGGTTAATCTGTCCCTAGATCTGCTTTGTCCTCCGTTCCTTCAAATGGCTACAAATTGAACACACAAGCATTTGTATTTAAGCTACTGATCACAAGTTACGGTATGGGCTGAGGAGATGACACTGTACGGTGCAGAACTGTGTAGGGAAATAGGAATAAAGAAGTGACAGCAAGTTTTACAGAAGTAGGGCAATGGCTGGTATCTACTTGAGTAACTTGGAGATGCAGATAATGTTCTGGGGTCAAGGGTCATCAAGGCAGCTGGTGGAACTTACATTTTACAAAAATTGAACTAAAAGTTTGACGATAAAATCATAAGAAAATCTGGTTAACTTATGTGCTTTAGGGATGAAAATCTGCCACCCTTATGTGGTGTGGCCCACATGTGCTTGAAGACTCTCAGCAATGGGGGTGACTTGACTGCCCTCTCAAGTGGCCAAGTGAATCACTCAGTCGTAACTAACCACAAAAAAAATCTCAAGGGACTGAAACTGGGCAGACTTCATGGCACCAACCTTGGCATTGAAAACAACAATGACACCCTGCAAAGCCCTCCCTACTAACACTTAGGGGCTGGTGACAACATTGGGAGAGCTTTCTCACAGACTAATCAAGCAAGAGCCTGACATTCTGTAAATAATCACTACCAGCCTAGTTAGTGAATCAGTAACTAGGCACACAGATTGAGGATTCTCAGTGGTTAGTGAATCAGTAACTAGGGACACATTAAGGATTAAATGTTTTCATACAGGATGAATGCACGACAGACATCCCCCATCATTTAAAGAGGGTCGGTGTAGGGGAAGGCACAGAGCGGCTCCTGCTACTGTTTGTTCTTTTGTTTTTGGGGGTTAGGTAATGGACTAATGGTATTATCACTGGGATATTAATCTAGAGAGTCAGGTAATGTTCTGGGAAACATGGGTTTGAATCCTACCATGGCAGATAAAATTTGGAATTAAATGTCTAAGGATGACCATGAAAATATTGTTGTTTATCAGAAAGACCCATCTGGTTGACCAGTATCCTTTTGGGAAGGAAATCTGCTCTGGCCTCCATGTCACTCCAGACCCACATCAGTATGGTTTACTCTTAACTGCCTTCTGGTCACTCGGGGATGGGCAAGAAATGCTGGCCTGGGCAGACATGCCCGCATCCTATGAATTAATACACAAAAACAGATTCTACTCTTTATGTGGCGGGAGCTGTGGATATTGAGATTCATGTGGATGCTGTACTAAAGTTTCTGTGACCTCTGATCACCAGGACGGGACTATCCGACTGTGGGAGTATGAAAATGGAACTGAGATGCACTGCCTCGATTTGAGTGAGCTACGCCCTTCTGGGTGTGAGAAGGTAAGTCCAGTCTTGCCTCCCCCACTTTCCCGGGCCATCTGTGTTAGTCCTCCCCCCACAGGTAACTGTCTCACCTGAACATTACCGCCAGGTATAATCACAGGTTAGTGAACCAGTAACGAGGGGCACAGATTGAACAGAAATTTCCTGCAGTGAGACATTAGACTGAAGCCATTGGTTTTTGGTCTCTGCTTTAAACCCCGTTCCCTTGCTCCTGGGACAGGAGAATGTGCTTCTGATGAATCCCCATCTCCCCTAATCTCACCATTTCATGTAAATGTTTCATTTCAGTTACGGAAATGGCCAATTCTTCCCTGTTTTTACTGCAATCCAGGTTGGAAGAGACTTCCATCTGGCTTCTTTAATGAAGTCAGAATCATCCGTTATTCTAAAACAATTCTCATTTCTGAAAGCAAATGGTAAATTTAGTGAACAACTGAGTTGTAATCCAGAATTAGAACTACATCCCCTTTTAAATCCAAAGCAAATATTCATGCAACCCCCAGAACACAGCTCTGACCCTGGAAAGGTGATATTTAAAAAGAACAAGACAAAACCTTACTCTTATTGGCCATTGGTCTGTTTTTAAAAAGAAAAAGCTAGAATTTGATGAATGCTTACAGTCCATCAAGTTTCTTGTTGATGAAATTGAATTGCTGACAGCTGTAGTCCAATGGAAGATCTTCCAATAAAAACAAATTGCTGGTGAAACTCAGCGGATCTGGCAGCATCTGTGCAGAGAGAAACCGAGTTAATATGTCTCAGTTAACTGAGTTAAACGAGACCAGTGACCCTTTGTCAGATCTTCCAGCTGAGGCTCCAGTCCCATTGCTTATCGGGCTGGCTCCAAGACTTTGGACAGTGATCGCGGTTTAGTTTCTCAGGGTTTACATGGTCATTGAAGTACTGAGATGTGAAAACTTTCAGGTTTCCAATTACTTTAATCAAGAGAAGAGAGAGACCTGCAGCTTTGAAGATTTTCCTTCCTTCTGATATTACCGACGTTTTGAAACTGAAACCAAGAAAGGAACCAAAAGAGATTAGACCATAAAACACGAGACGTTCAGCCCATTGAGTCTGATCTACCATTCAATGCGATCATCACTGATCTGATAATCCTCAGCACTATTTTCTTGCCTTTTTTTAATTCATTCATGGGATGAGGGCGTCGCTGGCTAGGCAGCATTTATTGCCCAGAGGGCCAGGTAGCATTTATTGCCCATCCCTAATTGCCCAGAGGGCAGTTCAGAGTCAACCACATTGCTGTGGGCCTGGAGTCACATGTAGGCCAGGCCAGGTAAGGATGGCAGTTTCCTTCCCTAAAGGACATTAGTGAACCAGATGGGTTTTTTCTGACAATCGAGAATGGATTCACAGTCATTATTTGACTCTTAATTCCAGATTTTGTTGAATTCAAATTCCACCATCTGTCATGGCAGGATTTGAACTCTGGTACCCAGAATATTACCTGGGTCTCTGGATTAATAGTGCAATGATAATACCACTAGGCCATTGCCTCCTCTGTGTCTCCCATAACTCTTGATTACTAGGTAATCATCAGCACAGGGCTCCATAGTCTGTTCCAAATTTTCAGTACTTAAGGGCATTAAACCCAATTTGTTACCTCCCTAAAAGCTTTGCTCAGCTGTTTGTGCAGAATCATCACTTTCTGCAAACAGTAAGTGGTTCACAGGCCCCATTAAACTGTTAGCTCATTCCTTGGATAAGAAACCTTGTTTAATCCAGAAAGAGTCCACAGTGTTCAATATCTTCCAGTTTTCCACGTAGTCCATAAATAGAGATGTATTTCCAACACTACTGTGTCCACACATCTCCATAAGTAGAAAAAGTAACCTTTTCTGGCTGTTCAATCAGCCCTGCCATTCAGTGAGATCATCGCTGATATGGTGATCCTCACTCCACTTTCCTGTCTTTTCCCCATAGCCCTGATTATCCCTGACTGATTAAAAATCAGTCTGTCTCAGGCTCAGTTATACTTCATACCCCAGCCTTGATAGCCCTCTGCAGTAAAGAATTCCACAGATTTACTATCCTCTGAGAGAGGAAATTCTCCTGATCTCTGTCTTAAATATATAACCTTTTTATTGTGCAATCGGGCCATCTGCTCCTATACTGTCCCACAAGGGGAAGCAATAAGGTCGTTTCTCATTCTTCTAAATTCCAATCAGTCCAACTAAACCATTCAACTCTCCACATAAGTCAGTCCCTCCTTGCCTGGTTTCAGCCTAGTGAACCTTCTCTGGTCTGCCTCCAATGACAGCTTATCTTTCCTAAGATAAGTGCCCAAAACTCTCCACAGTATTCCAACTGTAGTCTGATTAGTGCCTTTAATGGTTTCAGCAAAACCTCCTACTTTCACACTTCACTCCCTTTGAAATAAAAGCCAACATTCCATTTGCCTTCCCTATTACCTGCTGAACTTGGATGCTGGTTTTTATGATTCATGGATAAGGATTCCCAAATATCTCTGTTCTGCAGTTTTCTGCAATCTTTCTCTGTTTAAATAATATTCAGCTCTTCTGTTTCCCCTGCCAAATTCCATAACCTCACATTTTCCCACATTGTATACCACTTGCCATGTTTTTGCCCACTCACTTAATCTGTCGCGATTCCACTGCAGACTCTTCGTGTCATGCTCACCACTTGCCTTCCCAGCTGATTTTGTGTCATTTACAAAATTGGCTGCAGCACATTCACTTCCCTCATCCAAGTCCTCAATAAATATTTGTGCGCTCCCTGGAAACTGGATGTATTAAGTCTTTGGTGTCCCATTTGATTCACAGCATCACTGTGAGGGTATATTTCAGCTCTAATATTCCCTGACTGACTCAGTTCTTTGGCTGAAAGCTTCATTCATGCTTCTGTTAACTTGTGATGTGATATTTTCACTGTACCCCTGTGTGCTTACCCACAACTGACCCTGTGTAAACTTGGCATCACCCAAAACTCCGCTGCCCTGTGGCTAAACTCTCACCCTGTTTTACCCTGTTTCTAAATCTCCCCTTGGCCTCACCTTTTCCTGTATCTAATCTCCTCCAACTGTACAATTACTGCAGGCCTCCAATTTTGGCCTCTTTCAATGTCCCTGGTTTCACTTGGATCACTGGTGGTGGCTGTGCCTTCAGTTGCTGAATAGCCAGGCTCCTCCTGAGACGTCTCCACCTCTCGACCTGACTCTCTTCCTTCATGTCACTGCCTCATACCTGCTTCTTTGACCAAGTCTTTGGTCACCTGACTGTAGATCTCTTTCAGTGCTCAGAGTCTCACTTTGATTTAGAACACTCCTGTGAAGCACATTGGTCAGTTTGTGTTAAAGATGCTATATAAGTTATAGAACATTACAGCGCAGTACAGGCCCTTCGGCCCTCGATGTTGCGCTGACCTGTGAAACCAATCTGAAGCCCATCTAACCTAAACTATTCCATCATCATCCATATGTTTATCCAATGACCATTTAAATGTCCTTAAAGTTGGCGAGTCTACTATTTTTGCAGGCAGGGCATTCCACGCCCTTACTACTCTCTGAGTAAAGAACCTACCTCTGACATCTGTCCTATAGCTATCACCATCCGAGGAAAAAGGCTCCCAGTGTCCATCCTATCTAATCCTCTGATCATCTTGTATGTCTCTATTAAGTCACCTCTTAACCTTCTTCCCTCTAATGAAAACAGCCTCAAGTCCCTCAGCCTTTCCTCATAAGACCTTCCCTC